CAGTAATATTATCAAAGCAAAGATTCAAAGCACTCCCAAGGCACAGAAAAGTACCATGATGATCGACAAAGTAGTCCATGTGACATCAGTGGTACAACTGTAAAGTTACGAAGCTACGAGAATACTACAAGAACACAAGGCACGGCGCATGTGTTCATCGTCATCACGCCGGATCTGGGTCAGCCACATGCTTGCATCATGGTACTGTCGTGAACGCACATCCACATTTGACGCAGTAGAGACGAAAATGTGGAATAAGGTCGTTAATTTTGTTTTGTTTTTGTAGCTTCGTAACATTACGGTTGAACCACTGATGTCACACGGACTACTTTGTCGATCATCATGGTACTTTTCTGTGCCTTGAACGTGGTAGTTACCTTGCTGTCTATGGGAGGGTCAGAGAGCCCTCAGATTTAATCAAAAATATCTTAAATTGTGTTCCGAAGAGGAAAGAAGGTCTTACGGGTTTGGAACAACACGAGGCTGAGTAATTAATGATAAGTGTGTTTCTTACAAACACACAGCTTTTGTCTTCTCCAGATGTTAACTGATGGACTGGAGTGGTGTGGATTACTTGTGGGTTATTGTGATGTTTTTATCAGCTGTTTGGACTCTCATTCTGACGGCACCCATTCACTGCAGAGCATCCATTGCTGAGACACTGATGCAAAGCTACATTTCTACAAATCTGATGAAGAAACAAACTCATCTGCATTTTTAATGGCCTGAGGGTGAGTAAACTTTCAACAAATTTTCATTTCTGGGTGAACTATTCCTTTAACTTTGTCTCAGATGTTTCTCCAAAAATTCTCTCACTATATATACTATTGTCTAACTATTGCCTCTATTATGTCCATTATTTTCTTCTAAGAACTTTTAGGAGAAATGATTGCGACAAAGTTGATATTTGAAACAAACGAAAAGCCATGAGCTTTAGAGAGCAAACTCTGCGCAATATAATGTTTATCTGGACCTGTGTAAGTTATAAGTGTGTCATTCAAAAGCTATGAGAGTCTTGAGTCTATCTCTGTCTGCACGGTCTCATGTCATCCTATCTGCCCCGTTTCAAGATTTTTCATAATATGCCGTAAGCAGACAGCTGAAGGGCATATGCAAAATCAATCTCCACCTCGTGTGTGTCCTCGGCTCTGAGCAGATTCATGAATCACAGCATGTGCTGTTTCTGACAGAAAGGAGTGTTGGATTCGTCTGTGTATGTTGTGAAGAGTTTTCAGAATTGACTCTCGTATGAACATACAACGATGTGAATCCTTTAAAGTAGTTGGTTGAGGAATTTCAAGTGTAATATATTTATTTGGTTTTGGTGATTTGGGCTCTAAATGTCTTGTTCATCTCCCACTTTTAAAAGTAAAAAAATATAAAGGTTCCAATTTTTATTTTCTTTTTTTTATGTTGCAATAACCACCATTTTGGTTCCTTTAAGAACTTTTCAGTGAAAAGACCTTTAAAGAACATTTCATAATCTAAATAACCTTTTTGTGCAATGGAACCATAGACTGCAATAAAGAACCTTTATTTTAAGTGTGCAGAGAAACTTTTTCCTGAGAGATTCTTCCCTCCTCATATGGAAAAAAAAATCATTTTTCAAAGATATTTTTAAATGGCAGAAAATATATATTTGCTACAGTATGTTACAAAATATATTTATAGAAAAATATGTTCTACCACTATATTGTCTTGGCCATTTTTTGCATATTTTTTAAAATATATAAAAAAAAATATTAATATAATTTTTAAAAGCATTCCAAAATATATTTTGCCCTCCATATATTTCAATCCAGAAAATACATTCACATGTCAAATTTTCATTTTTTTTCTTGTCTATAACATATGTGAATGTATTTAAATAAAAATAAGTAATGAATGAAGTCTAATTGTAGGCTACTGTAAGATTTAAAATGTATTTTCTTGCCCCTGAAATAAGTTTTGAAATATATTTCAATATATATTAATAATGTAATAATAATATATTAATTTTGGTATATAAAGGTTGAATATTTATTTTGTCATATGAGCACAACTCAGGACTCTGCTTTTATTGTAGTAACAACTTCAGATGCTTCTTGTCTTAAAAATCTTTTAAGAATTTGATGAAACATGTTTGAGTTCATATTGAGATCTTAGCAAAAGGGAAACAATTTTTGTTCCCCACTGAGACTGAATGAAGTGGATGTATTAGAAAAAATAATTAACATTTAATAAAACACGGCTGAATGGGCAGGATGAGCTTCGTGAAGATTATAAATTACACAAAATCTTGTCAAATCTGATCTGCTGTGGTTGAGAAATGCAGTCGAGGGCAAAGGGGATAACCGCGGGTCAGCAAAAACAAACACAGAGTGAGTTGGTATTCAGCTGCATTTGTAAGAGATACAGCAAACAGATACTCTAAATCTTCTCAAACAGGCCTCTTTCCCTTTGAGCCGCGGCTGAGAGATTGATGACCGGGTCAGAGCTTCACTATAGACCCACGGGAACTGAAATATTGGCTGAGTGCTGGTTTGGTGATTACGGTTTTTAAGATGTCAGTTTTTATGGTCAAAGACATGAAGAGCATCACCCACAGCACTCGGAGGCTGAGATACAGCGTTTCTATAGCAACTGCCTCCCATGCATCCGAGGCTGCAGTCAAATGGCTGCGTGTAAATGCATTGAATATGGTATACTGACTCAATAATTCATTGAGCTCTGAACGAGGAGTTCTATACAATCAGTATTGCAGAAACACACAGGTCTGTCCTAGAGGTTTCTCTCAATAAAACTGAACAGGTACGCAAGAAAAGTAAACATTTCCCAATGTACTGTGTTAATATGAAGGAATTTTAATTGAGTTATGAATTATATTATTCTGCACAAATGTGACCCTGGAGCACAAAAGCAGTCTTAAGTCGCTGGGGTATATTTGTAGCAATAGCCAACAATACATTGTATTGATCAAAATTATAGATTTTTCTTTTATGCAAAATACCATTAGGATATTAAGTAAAGATCATGTTCCATGAAGATATTTTGTACATTTCCTACCGTAAATATATCAAAACTTAATTTTTGATTAGTAATATGCATTGCTAAGAACTTCATTTGGACAACTTTGAAGGCGATTTTCTCAATATTTCGATTGCACCTTCAGATTCCAGATTTTCAAATAGTTGTATCTTTTTGGCCAAATATGGTCCTATCCTAACAAACCATACATCAATGGAGAGCTTATTTATTTAAAAAAATTGACCCTTATGACTGGTTTTGTGGTCCAGCACAATTGGCATTCTTGATTAAATGATGGAAGCTATAGTATGACTGCCAATCAGAACAGCAAAACAATTATGTTGCACCTTAATAATGTCATGTACACTTTAAAAAATGCTGGGTTGTTTCGACCCAATTTTGGGTCAAATATGGACTAACCCAAATGTTGGGTTAAAAAGTTAATATAAAAATGTAACCCAACATTTGGGTTAGTCCATATTTGACCCAAAATTGGGTTAAAACAACCCAGCATTTTTTAGAGTGTAGTACAATAACATTTTACCAATTTTCTCTTTAACGGTATCCAATCTGCATTAAGCCGAATTGTCTGATGTTAGTGACGCACCAAATGTTTGGAACAGCCGCTGTCTGTAGTGCGCCACATCTGTCAGTTTGACCTTTCCAATATGGCGTCGATTGTCAATAACTTGCTAATAGTCGTCAATGCAGAATCTATGTATGTATCTGTGGTCTTACCATCTGTTGTGTGACGTATTTCTCTCCTGCTCTCCGCTAGCGTGCAAAACGGCACAAAGACGTCATGTGACCTGTCTCTCAGAGCGCCATTCTGGATCTGTGAACAGCTTCCTGTTCACCAGCAGCATTTCAAAGACTTCTTAAGAACTGTGAAACGCTCCCGTCTCAAAATGTGCTGTCATCTTATGTGTGCCAGTCACATCCAGAGCCTGTTACCACATACTGTGAGGAGACCCGTCGCTGTTTCAAAGCCAACAGCAAATACTGTCATCGAGTTGCATATCCCTCATGAAATTTAACCACGGTTTAATTATAGTGTAGTAGCTATGTCTTTTTTTTGGTGTATTAATTACCATTTCAATAACCACAGTTTTACTACAAATACCACGGTTAAACTATGGTTACTACAGCAAAACCATGGTTAACTTATGGTTACCATGGTTTAACTATGGTTTTATTTGTAGTAAAACCTTGGTTAATTTTCGTAAGTGATCTGTATCTATGTATCTCCTTGAACCATGGTTTAACCATTTAAACCATCAATAAAGGCAAAGTAACTCTGAGATATACACAGTATAATATAATGCATGTATGTGTAGTTTGCCTGTATTGTTGATAAAAATGTAGAATTTGGAGGGCAGTCAATGTGTTTAATTGTCATGAAAATAATGTCGATGCAATTTCGTATTTTAAGTTTGGGATGACCTGGCCATGCATTTGTGAAATTAACCCTTTGACTTCCTCTGTGTGGCCTGAAAGTTTAAAGATAAACCGTCGTTCAATGCTGATAGAGAGTTTATAAAAGTTGCTTTCCTTAAAAATGCAAACGAGACCTTCATTACAATTTCTCACTAAATATATTTACATGACATACAATTTGCCATCAGTGCAATACATAGAAATGTTGCATAAATACCAAATGTTAAACTTTTTCCTCTGTAAACAAAAATAAATGAGATGACGGCGATCGATGTGACTCTTCTGTAAAGCAACATTTACCACGCTCATACCAGATAAAACAACTCCACAGAAATCATCCCGAAATAAAGTCAAAACCGGCCCATCGACGATCAGAACTGATTCAGCAATACTAGAAACATAATGTACAGTATTTAGCACGTGTACATAGTATATACTGATTTCCATACAGATCATGGATTGCTTTTGTAAGAACATTTTCATATAACTTTGGCAGTTTTTCTTTTTTTTTTTTTTTTTTTAGAATCAAAGTTGTTTGAAAAAATAAAAAGATGATATCAAACAGTCAACAAATGTGATGTAAGCTTGCCTTTCACAGCCCATGTTCACAGTGATAATTCAGAAAGGCTGAAAGCCTATGGTAAAAAAGGAAACGTAAAGCCACTAAACCTACGAAAAACAAACGAAAAGAGTATCCCACCCCTCCTGCCTGGACTGGCAGCACTCGAGGTGGTTTTCATTGTTGTCAACGACTATAAAATTACAAACACTTATGAAGAGATTCGTAGCAGTCATCGCCATTTTAAAAAATGGTCTCTTTTTAAAGTGGACTCGAATACAAAACGTTGGAGGGGGGCGGGTCCGAGCGGATGCCCACAGTCACTGCGAACACATGGGAGAGAGACGTCACCAAGAAAACGAGACATGCACCACCAGTGCCGTGTGTTAAAAACGCGAAAAAAACGAAACGAACAAAAACGGTGCAAGAATGAAGACAAACAAAACCGCTACACACTTAAAAAGGGATGATACACACCGGACAAAATAATCGAGCAAATTTAGAAAGATACCAACTTCACCAATAATTCATATGTATTTGTATTTAGACTATAGTTTTTTTTGTATTTTTTTAAACTCATCAGGTTTGGCACTTTATCTGAACAAATACGGTATCTGTTCAAAAAGACTAATCGTCATACAAAACTGTCTCTTGAACATAACTTCGTAGAATATAATATTTGATAGAGAGCATACGGTAGGTAAACACTTTTGTACGTACTTGTAGTTTAAAATGAACATTCCAACAGATGTTTTACACACATGCACGAAAACAAACACAACCGCGCTTCTCTACGACACTTCCTCGGCCGACCGCGTGTCTGATTTGAGACGTACGAACTCTTTGGCCACTTCGTCGTTGGTCCTTTGCGAGAGTATTCTCAAGATGGTCAGGCCGGTTTCGTCCATGTTTACGCTCCTGGCGAGCGGATAGCAGGCGTTCAGGCTGCCCTTCTCGGCCAGTTCTCTGAGCTGCAGGACTGTCATGCCGATGATTCGGTCCTCTCGGGCGAAGCAGTAGTCCTTCACGGAGATGTGAAGCTCGTAGGCCTCTGGGCCGTGTTCATTACTCAGCACGCTGGATGGAGAAGGCACAACAACATTTATGTTAATTTTGCATTAAATTTGACTTTTTGATTAACGTTCCAGGTTTAACACTCATTGCAATTCAACTAATCCTTTGGTTTGTAAAAACAAACAAAACTGCCCACAATGCACTCTATGGAGCAAGATATTAAGCCCAAGTAAACATTAAAATGTACGCTATGCCGACGTCATCCGCTGGAACGCGCTTACGACAGTTATTACGGTTTATAAAGTTTTAAATATGGATATTTTTCTTACACAAACGCATCGCTTCAGAAGGCTTTATTAACCCCGGAGCCATGTGGAGTACTTTTTTATGATGGATGGATGCACTTTTTAGGACTTCAGTGTTTTCATCTGAAAGAAGAGGCTTGAGGTAAATCATGGTGTAATTCCCATTTTTGGGTGAACTACCCCTTTAACATGGCTTATGCATTAAGACAGTGATATTACAAGATCAAACTCTGCAGAAGAGCCCAGAATATGAACGCAATGCGCAAAGTTTTATGTTAAGCGTTTACCTCCCACTGTAAAATGTGTATTAATCATGTATTAGTCATGTAAAAATATATTATTAACATGTATTAATCTTTGTTAATGTTAGTAATAATACAATTGTTCATTGTTTGTAATATTTAGTTCACAGTGCATTACCTAATATACACACACACACACACACACACACACACACACACACACACACACACACACTTTTGAACTTAAAAATGCATTAGTAAATGAACATTAAGATTATTAAATTCCAGATAAGTATTATTCATTATTAGTTCATGTTAACACATGTAGTTAACTAACAGTAGTTAACAAATGAAACCTTATTTTAACTTGTTAGTGTTTTTAGCTAACATTAAGAAAGGTTAAGAAACAAAATATATTGCTCATTGTTAGTTCATGCTAGTTAATGCATTAACTAATGTTAATATATGAGAACTTATGTAAAGTTTTACCCATATATTAATCCAACATTTCAACTACTGTCATCACCATGTTAAGTTGTTAAACTCAATAGCTTTTGCATAATATGCATAATGACACCAGAAAGGTTTTAGAAGAAAGAGACCAAAAGGCCACAATCACTAAAAGTATGATTTATACATTTAAAAGTTCAAATAATGCACATATTTGTACATAGGAATTAACATAAATGTGAGCTTTACATTGCGACCCTCCAGAATGTCTCTCCTCATGGATGTCCAAGCGTTTTAACACATGAGTGGTACTTTTATGTTTTACAAGAGATGAAGACGACTCCAGTCAAATCAGCCTCAAAAGCTACTGTATTTTATTGTACGTAAAGCTGACTGAATATTACGCATTTTATCGTGCCAACTGCCCTATTATTGACCACTTTTGCTAGTTCACATTCAACTGCATGGCTGGCGGTGAATAGAGCATAACCTTTGCATGATGATGCATTCATGCTTTCTGCATTCAGAAAGTCTGAGACGACGGTCATATCAGCCAGCACAACATACACAAAGATGTTTGTCCACAGGCATGTCTTTATATCAGATGTGTTTGTAAAGCAGCGTTTCTGTAACCCAGTCAGCTTAATGTTTATCCGACACAGAAATTGCATTGATGGAGTACAGGAGCTCTTTTATGATTCCACGCAAAAACGGCACAAGACTCCATTAAGCTAAAAGGCCCTTAATATCCAAAGGTGGGCTTTGAGTTCATGCTATTTTACGTGCACTCTAAGAGAGAGGTTAATTCAGTGTGGCATTGAGTTTTCCATCACATTTTACTCGCTGGCTTTGAACGCCATTGAAACACCAAATGCTGGTCTTTTTGTTGAGTCAGCTGTTCTGGAAAGCCTTTCTCAATTATCTTTTCCTTCACAAGCCTAAAATGAAACTGTCAGGAGTAAATCTTCACGTGGACGCTTGGTTTCTGTGCTCTTGTTCAAGTGCATTTGTGCAGCTTAAAGGCAATCAGTCAACGCCGCTGTGCAAAGCCAGGTCGCTGATGTCGAATGCTCTATTTACAGTAAGACATGATTCATTTATTTCACGAGCAAAAGGATCCAATAATAGGAGATAAAGTGTGAAAACTTCGGCTGCTCCATGAGCTCAAGATATAAAATAAAATATATTTTATTAGGCTACTGAGTTTTACATTGATCTTTCAAACGTATGATTCATTTCTTTCTGTAAAACTTTTGAAATGAGAGTACGATGACTGAGAGAAATAGGTTACAGAGGGAATAATAGTGATCATGTTATCGAATCACCACTCTTTATCTATTTACTAGTAATTTTTTTCAGTAATATATAATCCTGTGGGATTCACATCCAACTCATATAAATCAATTCTGTGATGGTATCAGTGATGATACTGTGACACCTTGACATACGTTACCATTCAAATTTACTTTTACTCGGCGAGGACGCATTAAATTCATCGAAAGTGACAGTAAAGACATTTATTATGTTACAAAAGATTTCCGTTTCAAATAAATTCGGTTCTTTTCTTTTTTATTCATGATGGTTTCTGCAAAAATATTGGGCAGCACGACTGTTTTCAACACTGATAATAATCAGAAATGTTTCTTGAGCAGCAAATCAGCATATTAGAATGATTTCTGAAGATCATGTGACACTGAAGACTGGAGTAATGATGCTGAAAATACAGCTTTGATCACAGGAATAAATTACAGTTGAACATATATTCATAGAGAAAACAGTTATTTTAAATTATAATAATATTTTACATTTTTACTGCATTTTACTGTATTTTTTGATTAAATAAATGCAGACATGGACAGTGCTTTTCGCACCATATTTTAGTACATATCCCAAAAAAAAACATGGCATTGCATGGTTCCATCTCCATAAATGTGGTACTTTTTATATCTTCAAGTACACAACAACTGTTATGAATATAAACTATAGACAGGTTCCGTATATGAAATGAATACTCACTACTGGAATGTTTCGTTGAATTTTGGAGACCAGTTGTTGTTCTTGGTTTTGGTGCTAAACTTGCGTTTCTTGTCAGCCAGGTGCGGGCCGATGGCGTTGACCTCCACGAAAGGCCGAAACATGGCGTTCGTCTGCCAGTTGATATTGTTCACACCCACAACTGCAGAGGAAGAGGATGCTCTCGAGTTAGATCAGCAAATACAAGAGAGTCATGTTTATTTATATGACTTCTAGATCGCATGCTATCACTACAGAGTCACATGATCAGGCACGAGGAAGATATTCAGACCTGCTTACACTGGGGGGGAAAAAAGGACAAAAAATGGTATAGGATTTACTTTGAAATTATTTGCACTTATAAATTGCTAGTAAATAAAAAAAAATAGCAAGACACTGAATTAAACGTGAAATGTAGAATTTTTGAAGCCCATTTCTGCCACAGAATAAAAAACATTTAAGAAGCAATAGCAACTTTTTTTTCTGAGTTTATATCTCACAATTCAGACTTTTTCCTCACATTTCTGAATTTGTATGTTTATATTTCACATTTTTTGCAAGTTATAAACTCTGAATTCTGACTTCTGAGTATATAATTCACAATTCTGAAAAAAGTCATAATTGTGATACAAAATCCGAATTGTCAGAAAAATGTTAGAATTGCGAGATATAAACTCCAAATTGTAAAAGAAAAAAAGTCAGAATTGTGATATAAAAAGTCACAATTACCTTTATATTTTTTATTTCTTTGCAGCAACAAGCTTCCATAATAAAGACTGGAACAGTGTTTTCTTATAAAATGAACTCGAATTATGTTTTATTTACAACTTCAAAAAGTATTTTTTTACAGTGTAGTAAACTAGATCACATGCTGTATTATAAAACATAATTACGGCTGATTGGATGAAGCAAATATGATCTTTTAATTTTCAATTAATGCACCAAGGTTCTCACCAGCAGTAAACGGCCTACAAATTTATTAACAACAATAAATCATGAAGGAAGTTAATTAGGAATATTATAATGTTTGTTTTGTGGCTTTCCTCAAAGGCATAAATTCATTTATTTTGATGAGAAAGTGCAGTTTAATTTTTATGTATTATTTTTTTGAAGGATTTTTCATGCATTGGTATGTTATGAAGCAGTGTTTGTGGTCATTAATTGGGTTTGTTGTGCAGGTGTCTCTCTGCAGTCTAGGTTTCGTGTCTCCTGTAGAGACGGAGCTCATTAACAGATCCTGAGCTCTTGATAAAGCGGCCAGATGAGAGCCATTACAGCGAGAGGAAACTTTCATTCTGCTAATTACAGCAGCAGCAAACGCTTTATCAGTGAAATTACACTAACTGATTAAAAGAATACAGTGTCTGTGGCAAAGAGAAACATGCTAATTTGAGTAATTTAGACTTGAGAGTATCTAAATCATGAATTAAGCGCCGTGTGTGTCTGTGTGTGTAGATGGCGACCTCCCCGGTGGATCCAGACGTGGACTGACCTGGAATCAGTTTTGAGACACATGAACATCATACAGTATGTCAGATAAGAGCATGCATTACACACTGAACACACACTACACTAAATAAATACACAATAAATCCATAGATAGAGTGATTAATGAAATGTGCTTCAGCTTGACATATGAGACTGTTGTGATTAATTATGTTTTAGAACATTATCTGCCAAGACAAATAAACCAACATATAAACACACACACACACAAATAATAAAAAATGATAATAATTTATAGCCAAGATATATAAAATCTGTTCACACACAAAAAAAATCTAGATAGATAGATAGATAGACAGATAATCAGACACACACACACACACACACAAAACACATGCTAATAATAATAATAATTTAAAAAAAAAGTATAACCAGCATATATGAACACACACACACACACACAATGTTACAAAAAGAAAGAAAACATACATATAAACAAAATGATAATAATTTATAACCTACTTTAAAAAAAATATAAGAACTGCTACATAAATATAAATATGAACAAAACATATACAAAATAGAACGCACACACACACACACACACACACACACACGCACGCACGCGCACACACACACACACACACACACACACACACCTTGTATTTCTCACTTCTGTATATACTACTTCTTTCTGATACAACAATATAAACCAACTTATACTACACATAAGAAAAGCTCAAAAATACAAAACTGGTGTTAACTAGCATTTAGTTAGTCAATAAAGCTAATCAAGTTGCTTAACTTTATTAGAGAGAAAGTTGGAGAGCTGCAGATGCTTTAAGGCTGTTTTGAAAAAAAAAAAGATTAAAATGAGTCATTGCTATCTTTACGAAAAGTCAATATAATCTATCCTAAGAGAGATTAATTTCCCCTCGATTCATCTTTAATAGCTGTAGACTGTCAAACCCCAGAATTCACAATCCCATATCTCTAGTCTAATGGATTTCGAGATGGTTGTTGGTTTAGACTATATTTTTGGAAATATTAAACTCAGTCCTCTCTGGAGTAGATCCAGACAGATCGCTCTGAACGGGAGAATAATGGAGGAGTGAACGCTGTGTTTTGTATCTTTGCATTTGGCCTTCAAGGTTTGCAACAAACAGGGAAACTGTCAAGGCCACATTTAGCCAAACTAACTGAAGATTTATTTTCCAGGCTGGAAATGCAAACAAACTTAAACAATAATGCTAATGAACACTAATCAAACTGTTGCAATTGCAATTAATGATAAATATTAAATTATTAGTAAATCAACAGGTGGTAAATGAACTTTAGAAAATTGTCTGCAAGGAAAATAATTGCTAACTATTATAATAACAAATACAAAAAAGATAATAATATTAATCAATCCTATTTAATTTATTTAAAATTGTTATATTATCATATATATTATATAAATAGCCTACATTTGCTTTATCACTTTACCAATGCACCAATAAATCACTATATAATTGATATTAACTAGTAACCAACAATATTTATTAAAGTATAACAATAAAGAATAAACCGAGTGTTACGTATCCTGTCCATGAACTTCCGTCTGCTAGCCATCAGAGGTCACCCTTTCCATTTTCATTGACTCTCGCACTACACACTGTTGCATATCACCCCAGACTACATATCCCATCATTCATTGCACTGATTGCACACAGCACTGATTGCACACAGCTGTTTCATATCACTCACTCACTATTTAACACTCACTCGGATCCCTTCCCGGTGCCGAGTATTGTTTAGCGCTTATCATTTGATAGCTACACTACAGAGCCCTCGTTAGTTTACCCTGCCTTAGCCTAGTCTTGCCTTGTCTGTTTTCTCGGTTTCTGACCCTGCCTGTGTTTCTGACCTCTCTGCTTTAATAAAGCTTGCACATGGATCCGCATGTCTCACGTCTTGTCAACCCCGTAACACCAAGATGGTAAATTCAATTTAGAACATTATCTGCTAGGAAAAGCATTGCTAACTAGTAATAAGCATACATACAAACACAAAATAATAATAATAATATTATTATTATTATTATACTCAATTATATTCAATATATTATACAATATGCAGCGTGCAATATGCATATATTGTTATATGTATAATAAAAATAACTTTTTATATAATAGTTTATTTATTCTATTCTATGAATACATTTCCCACTTCTCACAGATACGTCATACAATAAGTACAAAAAAGCACAGAAATATATGAAATAAGCAATTTTAGATAAAAAAAAAAGTTTACAATAATGCTACAAATGATAAAGTCTGAAAAATGTTGTAATCACTAAAATTTTATTGCATAAACTTATGCATAATTTTGACATTAAGTTTTTTTTAAAAGGGTTCATATCATGAAGAATCAAATTTGCATTGATCTTCTTAGACTTTCAGGACTCAAGGAGAAAACCAAAGTAATAGTAATAAAAAAAATGCTTGATATGACCACTAAAATCAAAAACAATCTCTCCTCTCCTCTGTAGACGATCAGACTGAAAAACTCCAGTCCAGAATCATTCAGTGACAGGCTCTCGTCCATCTCTCAGACCCACAGGACACATTTTCACAGACAAAGAAAATAAAGCAGTCTCTGGAGGGAATTTAAAGTGAGTCCAGAAAGAACGAGCTGCAGGAGATGTTCCCTTGATTACTTCCAGAACTTGTCTGAAGGAGTCAGAGGTCACAGCAAACTATGGAAGTGCTTATTAAATTGTGTTGATATTCCTGCATAGACAGACTTAGACTTCTGATGAACACATCATTTAAATCGAGGCGAAATAAGCACACACACACACACACACACACACACACACACACACACACACA